GCTGAAAAAGTTCATGTTGTAGTGTAGAGAATGATTTTTAAGCAACACAGTAGTTTGTACGATCGCCCATCGCCATTGCAATGAAATATGAGAGAAGCGACTATTGTAGAAGAGAAAACTTGATGGTAGGTGAGGGTGAGGATGAATGAATTAGAGTGAGAGTAAGTGGATGAAGACAAGGTGGTTATCCCAATGGGAAAACGACGTACTCCAAGTATTGCCAGAGTACAGGAAGTACAGCGAACCTAATGATTTATTCCGAATATTTTTTGAAAAAGCATTGCAAGACTGCTTTTTTCTTGTTTTAAATTTTAAACAACCTCAAATGATAGATTGTTCAGTAGATAAAACATCTAGGATAGTATGCAGAAGACGAGACGTCACATTCTTCTTTTTCGTCTTTCTTATAGTTGAATACCTAGACACGATAGGAAGGAAATAAAAAATACCTACTAAATAAACATCCACCAAGCCCGAGCTTCTCGGATTGGGTGTGGGTACCATTATCCTGTTGTTTTCTACACTCACACCCACACCCTCGATGAAATAGTCATGTTCGCTATCAAAACTGCGCACATTCAAATTGATTTCAATTCATCTAACAGTTTTATTTCAATAATACAGAATAAAATTGCGTGTTGCTATTTCGAAAACTAATTCTGATACAATTCTTAGCTGTATAGAAGACCGACATAGAAAATACTCAAGCGTTTTCAAACTTGATTTGCAATTTCTTTCTCTATATACTTTTCACTTCGGTGCAAAAAAAAGGATGACGAGTGTCGATTTGATCGATAACCGTGGTCCCGAAGGACCAAATGTGATGCTTCAGTCTCATAACATTGAGTTGTGTTTGGCCACCGATCACGGCTCGTCGTTCTTCTTCTTTATTTCCCTTCTATTCAAGTTGAAACAAGTTACAGGTTGTGCAATAATCTTCTTTCCTTGTCTGTATGTCAACACTCAGTACGAGTATTGCGTAAGTAGATAGAAACGCAAAAAAAATTATTTGATCAAGATATTTGACTTTCGTTTTTTACTAGCATTCAATCGATATTTCATTTTTGGATCTTTCATTCTAACCAAATGAGTCAGTGCTATTTGCCTTTACAGGTAATATATCTGCTTGACTTTGTGAAGAGTAATCGATTTCCTCTTGAAGAGGTACAGTTCCTTGCTTTTGGAAAATATCGTCCAGTCCTCTTGTGGCTAGTTCTATACACGAAGTTTTCCTCATGTCCTCTATCTCTTATTTGGATTCTTGTCCTAAGGATAGCTGTGTTCTTTAATATCTGCTTGGTACTATTATGAAAAACTATTTTTCGATTCTTCCTACTATATAAAATAGCCATAGATAAACATGTATGAACTCAGTCAGTCGCAATTGTAAGTGTTTGTTGGCTGCAGAAATATGAAGAAAGAGTAAAATCACAGACAAAAATAAGTATAATAAGATAGAAATAATGTGTTCGTAAAAAAGCGACAAGTTAAGATTTAATTATACGAAGAAGAAAGAAGATAAGTCTTGATTAAACTTGATAACTTTAATCAAAGATTTCGATTTGAAGATAGTTGCTTGTTGAAGGTGATTATCTCTTTTTTAGAATTACTTATTCAGTCAAAAAACAAAAAGAATAAAACATTTAAAAACTTTTTTGTCTAAGTTAAGTGAATACAATCAATTAGAAGAATTTTTTTTTTAATTATTATTTTCACATGAAGAACTATTAAATAGAAATTTTTGTATTCTATTATTTCCAGTATCTGCAACGAATAAATTCCAATTTTTATCAAATTTAATTCCTCTTGGCGATGAAAGTTGATTCGGTTCATTACCAAGATGACCAGTAATTCCAACAGCAATAGCTTCAGGTTCTTGTGCATATGGTATCCATTTTAAAATTCGATAATGATTAAAATCTAATATATACATCATCATTTCATCTGCTGTTGGTTCTAATAAAATTGAAACTGGAGTGCGTAACTGATTTATGTTTGAAGCTACAGTAATTCCTTCATGAGCACCATCAATCCATTTTTGAATTCGATGATTTGCGTGATCACAAATATAGATAGCACCAATTTCATTGATTTCATCAACATAGATACCATAAGGAGAATTTAATTGATTTAATTCAGCTCCTGCTCCATGTCCACCAGCTACAACAATACCAGAACTTGAATTTATAAAGTATTTCATAACTCGATCGTTACCAGTATCTGATATATAAAGGGTTAAATTTTTATCAACATAGAGTCCTGGTTGACCATCAAGACGGAGCTCATTCAATTCGCTTCCGGCAACTGTTGTTATTGATTGGTCATATGAACTCAATTTCTTAACTTCATCCCCGAATACATCTGTCACATAAATATTATCGAACTTGTCAATACATACACTGGACACTTTAGTGTTTGCTAATAATGTAACATTTGTTCCATTAGTAAAATACTTTAATAAACGATGATTTTC